TCATGTTGTCAATAACGTCCCACAGGAACAAGACCGAACTAGGCCTCAGAGAATGAACCTCAAATTCAAATTAGTCAAGGAGGCCAAGTTAAGTTTCGAGCCGGAGCTTCCGATTTGCCTGGGAAGGGAGATATTCATAATTAAATTCGTGTGTAAGCATACACCATGATGTGATAGATGTCGATGGTGGTTTCACACTTCCACAACAGGCCGAATCTTGGAGGGTTCAAGCACGCATACAGAAAAAGGACACGAAAGGGACAATAGCAAAAATATTTTTTAGGAAGGCTAGGGCCAGAGCTAGACAAGCAACGGTGTCTTCGCTCCGCGACCCCTTCGACTCTTCTCTGCCAGAGGCAAATAATGCATATGTCATAGTTGACTATGCAACCCAATATTATAAAAGACTATACGTTTCGGAATCAGGCCAATGGGGCGCTGACCGCTTGACACATGCGAGATAAGAGATGCTATAACATCTGCTAGCGATGCTCTTAACACCCGAACGAGAATCGCTGGAAACACCCTTGTCTGCTAATGAATTGATAGATGCCCTAAAGAGAATGGAAGATGAGAAGACCCTAGGTGTTGACTCCTTTCCTAAGGAATTCTGGTTATAAAATTGGACAGTCTTCCAAAATTGCCTCACAACGTATGTACAAGCAGTCTGGACAGAGGGGACCTTTGGAGACATGATTAGCCAAGGGATCACTACATTACTGTTAAAAAAAAAAAAGATAAAGCATTGTTTAATCGACTACTCCTGTATATATCACATTTGATCTACTAGGATCAGACTGGATTCATGCCATAAAAAAATATCCCGGACAATGTGTTGCTGGTAAATGAAACAATTAAATACGCAAAGCAACATAAGAAGGAAGCAACTGTCATGTTCATAGACTTTGAGAAAACCTATGACCATGTTGATTGGGACTTCATGGATGGGTGTCTGCAAAAAATGAATTTTGGTGACTCCTTCAGGGCGTGGATGTCCACCATGCATAGATCTGCAGAAACGAACATTATGGTCAATGGACACATGTCCTCCCCTTTCGCCCTTCAGAGGTCGGTGAAGACAAGGTGACCCGGTAACTCCTCTCCTGTTCGTGTTAGTGATGGCAACCCTTACAGCAATGATCCGATCCAACCCGAATATAGAACGTATTGACATCCCCGAACTGCCCCGACAACACCTCATACTGGTGACGTCACTATTTGCCGACGACCTCATGATTCTCATTAGGGCCTCCTCATGCTCATTAAAGGCACTCACTGACACAATTCGAATTTTTGCAGTGGCGGCAAACATAAGGGCTAACTGGGGGACAAAGACAGAAGGTTGGTGACTCTCCCCACAAGACTCCCTACCCCCGCAAGACCAGCCGGTCAGTTGGCGACAGAGGGAGGATGCAATAAGGATCTTGGGTGTTCGTTTGACAACGCTGGGCCCCCTAGCCGACCATGGTCAAACCCTGGTTCAAACGGCCTTGCAAAGACTGACCAAATGAGATGGATTGCATACATCTCTCGTAGGCAGAGTTCTAGAAATCAACAACGAAGTATTGTCCACCATTTGGTACAAGACGACTTTCTTTGCGATCCCGGAGAAGCAACTTACAAACCTACGGGCAGCATTAGCAGCGTACCTCTTGAGGAATGACCATGAGCTCACCCGATGTATCGGAAGAGTCGCATGGAAATATGTGACACAACCAAAGAAGGTGGGAGGATTAGGCATCCTTGACCCTGGGGATGAGATCAGAGTCTTGGTGTTTAAAGTGATTACACGCCTCTTGTTAGCCAACGATGTGTCGTGGCTGCCGCTAGCACACATACAACTAGCGCACATGACCCTCCTTCCCACCCTGACCATCCGGTTCATCCGCTCAGGTGGCTCACCAACACAGACTGGTATGTTCTGAATCCCCCGCGTCATAACAGGGATAAGACACATAGAATTAACACAAGATGGGACATAAAAAATGACCCTCTGTGGCCATCAATGTTGAAATTGTGGAGGCACATGGGGCCAACAAAAAAGTCCCCTCCGCTGAGGTGGCAGGAAATATGGAGATAACCACTGTTCGGAAACCCGTTCATTCGCGACAACAATGGAAAGCCTTTCTCCCCGACTGCGAACTCCCACTGGCTAACATGGGTGCGGAACAGAATCTACACCCTTGGAGATTTATGAGACTGCCATACAGGGTCATGGAAGTCGACCCAACAACTACATCACACCCTGAACACATCAAAGGAAGCCAATGCAAGTTGCAACAGTTACAAACGGTTGTCCCACCTCCGTGGGTAACTACTTTGCAACAAGAACCGGGGCTGTGCGCCCTTGACTGGGTCATACAGGCTTCACCTAGCCCGATCCCCATGACCATCTTCAGGGTGTCACACATCACACATGAAGGGGTGAAGCTGCACGCATACGAACCGGATGTGCCGGGGGCAAGGTGAGCCGCTTTGGAAAAGAACCGGCTACTATTGGACTGCACAGTCTCAGAGTTTGAACTGATCAGAATCAGAGTTGTGGGATCCGAAGACACAGGTTACTATTCATACGAGATGTCCACCCCGGTCGGTGACCCAACTTTTGATCCACAAGAGTGGGAATAGAACGACCGTAACCCCACCCCGATATGGCAGTACTCCGTTAAAGAGGGTTACAAGCGGGTTCACACGCTCCACCCGTCCACAACGATAGTTAAGAGCAGGTGGAAGAGAGACTCTCCGGTGTCTGAGCACAACCTGCGCCACATCCCGTGGACTATGTACGCTCATGTTATGCCCATCTCCCATAGGGTCCTTCAATGGCAAATAACCCATCGATGCCTTCCGACACCGGACTGAGTAACAACGAGATCCAACTTGGAGCAGAAGGGAGTCCTATCCCCTATCTGCGCCCACTGTGGACCCGACTCTCAACCACAAAGGGCGGATCTAGAGCACTGCCTCCTCGACTGCCCAATTGGAAGAAGAGTATGGCAATGGTGGGATGCGATGTGGCACATGCTCACGGGCGAGGTGTTGCACTGGGACGTAGCCCTTATCCTATTAGGAAAGTGCAAGAATATTCCCCGAGCATGGACACCCTTTCAGCGCAACGTGTTCAAACACATGAGGTTGACAGTCCTCATGGTTATCTGGCGTGAAAGGTGCTCAGTGGAAGGGCAAGAGGCGGTCTTTGGCCTCTATCAAGCCAAGGCATAATTAGTAGAAATCATTAATGCTAATTTGGTAAGGGCCAACAGTAAACTCAGGCAGGTGGTAAGGGCTACAAGGGAGGGGCAGGCCAAGAGGAAAGCTGTGGCTGCCTTCTGTGAGCTTCAGCTCGATCCTCATAAGAAGATGGAGGAGGTGAACGAAAATGGGATTTTGAGTCGGGAAAACTGGGCTTCTCAGGACGCCCAATGGTCATACCGGGGGCGGAATGCTTCACTACACCTCTTTTGGGCCAAACACGGAACGTGTTGACAATACGCAATCTGGTCGCTGTCCAGGATCATCACGTACACAATGGGCTAGCCTCCCAGCCTCCACAGTTAATGCAATCCCCTCCCATGCCCACGCAAATGTCCCCACCCGCTCCCCTCCGGCTACCCCGTCGTCCCCCCCCCGCTGCCGTCGTGCCCTCCCCCTATCACCCCTCCACCGCCCTCATCCTGCTCGCGGAACCCTCCTCTGCCCTCCTCTTCCACCTCTCCCCGCCCCCCCTTGCCCCC